TTCAGTGTCCTCCACCCCTCTCTCTGCCAATCCCTCCACTGACCTCCAACCCTCTCTGCTGATCTCTCCATTGGCTTCCACTCACAAAATACTAACAACAATGTACAAAGCCATCCACAACTAGGCCCCGTCTAACCTAGTCTCAAAATATCAACCAAACCATCCTCTCGACTCCTCCCAAGACCTCCAGTTCTCCAGCTACCTCATTTCCTCCTCCCATGCTCACCTCCAGGACTTCTCCAGAGCCTCTCCCCATTCTATGAAACTCCCTCTCCATTTTTAAGTCAGTATAAAGATGATGCCTAAGCAGCTCACCTCAGCGATCATGCGATTTGTGTCCCCCAAGAAGAGCAGATTGAGGGCCTCCTCCTCGGTGTTGGCCTGATAAAGGGACAAGTTCTTCAGGTGGATGTTCTGATCAGGATCCTCCATGATGGTCACTTTTCTAGACAGAGAATAACATTGGATGTCAAGGAATAAATAATGGACAGTCTCCAAGTCTGCCCAAGTTTCTGGGCAGATGCTGGCTTTTTTTTTTTTTTTTAATTTCTTATGTGTCTTGGGGGTAGGAAGATCTTGAATGTTCAGTTTGCAAACTGCATCTTGTTTGCTGTATTTATTTTGAATCATGAGAAAGCAACAGCCGGGTATCATTTACCTGGTGTTAGAGGCCAATGGAGAGAGGGCTTCCCTTGCGGCTAAGTTCCGGACTCCCCTGAGAGTGGGACAGCAGGAGTCAGGCCCAAAGTGGCACAGGTTGCCTGTAGGAGTGCTGCTTGGTGGTCCACCCAGGAGCACAGCTGATGCACTGAGATGGGGTCTGCAGACAGGTGGTGCCTGTGCGAGGTATGCAAGCCGGGAAACAGAGGATCACAGGATAGACGGTTCAAAGCCGAGGTCAGGTACCAGGTGGAGATCGGAGCAGACGTAGTCATATGGGATAGCCGAGGTCATACACAGAGGAGTAAGAGAGAAGATCTGTTAGCCAAGCCGAGGTCATACACAGAGGAGTAAGAGAGAAGATCTGTTAGCCAAGCCGAGGTCATACACAGAGGAGTAAGAGAGAAGATCCGTTAGCCAAGCCGAGGTCATACACAGAGGAGCGAGAGAGAAGATCCGTTAGCCAAGCCGAGGTCATACACAGAGGAGTAAGAGAGAAGATCCGTTAGCCAAGCCGAGGTCATACACAGAGGAGTAAGAGAGAAGATCCGTTAGCCAAGCCGAGGTCATACACAGAGGAGCGAGAGAGAAGATCTGTTAGCCAAGCCGAGGTCATACACAGAGGAGCGAGAGAGAAGATCTGTTAGCCAAGCCGAGGTCATACACAGAGGAGTAAGAGAGAAGATCCGTTAGCCAAGCCGAGGTCATACACAGAGGAGTAAGAGAGAAGATCCGTTAGCCAAGCCGAGGTCATACACAGAGGAGTAAGAGAGAAGATCCGTTAGCCAAGCCGAGGTCATACACAGAGGAGCGAGAGAGAAGATCCGTTAGCCAAGCCGAGGTCATACACAGAGGAGTAAGAGAGAAGATCCGTTAGCCAAGCCGAGGTCATACACAGAGGAGCGAGAGAGAAGATCCGTTAGCCAAGCCGAGGTCATACACAGAGGAGCAAGAGAGAAGATCCGTTAGCCAAGCCGAGGTCATACACAGAGGAGTAAGAGAGAAGATCCGTTAGCCAAGCCGAGGTCATACACAGAGGAGTAAGAGAGAAGATCCGTTAGCCAAGCCGAGGTCATACACAGAGGAGTAAGAGAGAAGATCCGTTAGCCAAGCCGAGGTCATACACAGAGGAGTAAGAGAGAAGATCCGTTAGCCAAGCCGAGGTCATACACAGAGGAGAGAGAGAAGAAGATCCGTTAGCCAAGCCGAGGTCATACACAGAGGAGTAAGAGAGAAGATCCGTTAGCCAATCCGAGGTCATACACAGAGGAGAGAGAGAGAAGATCCGTTAGCCAAGCCGAGGTCATACACAGAGGAGTAAGGAGAGAGAGATCCGTTAGCCAATCCGAGGTCATACACAGAGGAGCGAGAGAGAAGATCTGTTAGCCAAGCCGAGGTCATACACAGAGGAGCGAGAGAGAAGATCTGTTAGCCAAGCCGAGGTCATACACAGAGGAGCGAGAGAGAAGATCTGTTAGCCAAGCCGAGGTCATACACAGAGGAGTAAGAGAGAAGATCCGTTAGCCAATCCGAGGTCATACACAGAGGAGTAAGAGAGAAGATCCGTTAGCCAAGCCGAGGTCATACACAGAGGAGTGAGAGAGAAGATCCGTTAGCCAAGCCGAGGTCATACACAGAGGAGCGAGAGAGAAGATCTGTTAGCCAAGCCGAGGTCATACACAGAGGAGCGAGAGAGAAGATCCGTTAGCCAAGCCGAGGTCATACACAGAGGAGTAAGAGAGAGAGATCTGTTAGCCAAGCCGAGGTCATACACAGAGGAGTAAGAGAGAAGATCCCGTTAGCCAAGCCGAGGTCATACACAGAGGAGTAAGAGAGAAGATCCGTTAGCCAATCCGAGGTCATACACAGAGGAGCAAGAGAGAAGATCCGTTAGCCAAGCCGAGGTCATACACAGAGGAGTAAGATAGAAGATCCGTTAGCCAATCCGAGGTCATACACAGAGGAGTAAGAGAGAAGATCCGTTAGCCAAGCCGAGGTCATACACAGAGGAGAAGGAAAGAAGATCCGTTAGCCAAGCCGAGGTCATACACAGAGGAGCGAGAGAGAAGATCCGTTAGCCAATCTGAGGTCATACACAGAGGAGCAGGAGGGAATATCCGTTAGCCAAGCCGAGGTCAGGTCAGGGGGTTAAGCAGAGCAGACAGGTCCAAGAGTAAGCCAAGTCGGTATCAGGAAATCACAGATCACAGTAGCACAGGAACAGGAACAAGGTACTGGGAAGCCAGAGGTCAACCATCACCTGAGGAAGCACCTTCCTCATGAAGGCCGTTTGGCACCAAATTTGAGCTGACGTGAACTTCTGCGGCCATGCAAGGTACTGGCAGGGGTGCCAGGTATCCTAACACCTCTGCCGAGGACACCGGGCTAGCAGAGTCCACAAAAAGGAAGACACTACGTCAAGTGTGGCCAGAGGCTGGAATTGGGAAACTATGGCAGGGGCATATCACCACGGAGGTCTTCCAGAGATATAAGTAAGCAGAAGCAAATAACTCCATCTATGACAGATCACTTTGCGGTGAATCCTTCTTAAAGGGATTTGCTAGAACAAAATTCGGGAGGTGCTGATGATGTAATGATTTTCCCAGCACGAGCAAATTGGATCGTGCTTTGCTGGGTTGTTTGCCTTCCTCCGGATCAACTGTGGGTGTAGGATTATAACTTTTGTTTTTTTTCTCTATGGTTGAACTGGATGGACTTTTGTCTTTTTTCAGCCAGACTAACTATGTACCTATGAACACTCTGAGTCTTATATCGTAATATTCATTATTGAACAGTCTTGTCTCAGTCAGTGGCTCGAAAAATACAGCATCTGTGTCAGAACCTGGATCACCTGATGGTGGCGCTTTGCTTTCCAGAGCGGGAAGTTGTAATTCCAGTGTCCACCAGCCAGTGTCTCCCAGCAGCCAGCAGATTCCAGTAATCAGTTTCCACCTGATGCTGGCTGCTGGGAGGGTATTTAGACCCTCCTCTCCTATTACACTTTGATTCTGTGTTTTGCTTTGTCAACCAGATACTGGTAGCTGCTATCCTGTTCCTGCCCTGTATGCAATACTCTGTATCCTACTGCCATGATCCTGCTCCCCCTAGTTCCTGATCCCAGTGTTAGCTGCCATTTCCCATCTGCACCTCCAGTTTTTTCCCGCTTTTCTATGTTCCCCATTGTATATGTATTGTATATAGTTAATTGTTAGGCTTCTGTTATTAGTCAGGTATTCTGTCACCGGAATCTTTGGTTTCACTTTTCTTTTATGTTTTCTGGTATTGGATGGCTTATGGTTCACTGTAAATAAATCTCACTTAAAATGATAGTAAATTTTTTTTTTAAATAAATATAATATATAATAAAGCTTACCTGTAGGTAAAACTAATATCTCCTAAATTTGCACCGTTTAGGAGATTGTCGCTCTTTTTTAGAACCGTTACATGTGCTCTGAAGGAACGACATAGCCGTGCCATTCCTTCAGAGTACTGTGCCATGGCCCGGGGGGGGGGGGTGATATTATCGCGGCTCGGGCAGTCAGATGGGATGCATACATTACAACATCACCTTGCAGGGGATTTTTTTATGTTTTTATTTCTTACCTGCGGTTTATTACCGCTTTAACCACTTTAGGACCGCCCTATAGCAGATGTACTGCTACAGGGTGGCGCCTGTGCGCAGGATCACGTATATATAAGTCTTTCTGCATTTTCGGGTAGGGGGCGCACATGTGCGTCCTACCCGCGCCGCCATTAGCGGCCGTGGATGTCAATCACCGGGTCACGGCCGGTGATTACCTGCCGGCGCACGGTGATTACCGAGTATCTCCGACGGGGAGGAAGATTGTTTTGTTTACAAACAATCTTCCTCCCTGTCAGCTCAGGCACACTGCACAGTATAGCTATCCCGATCAGTGTGCTTGCAGTGAAGCACACACCCCCGCCCCCTAAAAAAAAAAACACTCCCAGGAAACAGTTAACCCTTTGATCGCCACTCACATTAACCCCTTCCTGCCCAATGTAATTAGTACAGTGTCAGTGCTTTTTTTTAGCACTGATCACTGTATTGGTGTCAGTGACACCAAGTCAGTTCCCCCCCCCCCCCCCCTTAGTGTCAGAATGTCCGCCGCAGTCCCGCTAAAAGTCACTGATTGCCACCATTACTAGAAGAAAACAAAAATCCCAGTATCTATACCGCCATTTGTAGGCGCTATAACTTTCACGTAAACCAATTAATTTACACAAATCTGGATTTTTTTTTTTAGCAAAAACACAGAGCAGGAGACATTTTGGCCTAAATTTATGACGAAATTTGATTTTTTAACCTAACCTGTTTAAAACCACTTCCAGTCCAGACACTTTCCCCCCCTTCCAGTCCAGACACTTTCACCCCCTTCCAGTCCAGGACACTTTCCCCCCCTTCCAGTCCAGGACACTTTCCCCCCCTTCCAGTCCCACTTTCCCCCCCCTTCCAGTCCGAACACTTTCCCCACCTTCCAGTCCGGACACTTTCCCCCCCTTCCAGTCCGGACACTTTCACCCCCCTTCCAGTCCGGACACTTTCCCCCCCTTCCAGTCCGGACACTTTCCCCCCCTTCCAGTGCGGACACTTTCCCCCCCTTCCAGTGCGCCGGACACTTTTCCCCCCCTTCCAGTGCGGACACTTTCCCCCCCTTCCAGTCCGGACACTTTCACCCCCCTTCCAGTCCGGACACTTTCACCCCCCCTTCCAGTCCGGACACTTTCCCCCCCTTTCCAGTCCGGACACTTTTTCCCCCCCCCTTCCAGTCCGGACACTTTCCCCCCCTTCCAGTCCGGACACTTTCACCCCCTTCCAGTCCGGACACTTTCACCCCTTCCAGTCCGGACACTTTCCCCCCTTCCAGTCCGGACACTTTCCAGTCCGGACACTTTCCCCCCCCTTCCAGTCTGGACACTTTCCCCCCCTTCCGTCCGGACACTTTCACCCCCTTCCAGTCCCGACACTTTCCCCCCCTTCCAGTCCCGACACTTTCACACCAGTCCCCGGGACTTCCAGTCCCGACACTCCCCTTCCAGTCCGGACACTCCCCCCTCCCCTTCCAGTCCGGACACTTTCCCCCCTTCCAGTCCGGACACTCCCCCCCCCCCCCCCCCCCCAGGCCAATTTTCAGCTTTCAGCGCTATCACACTTTGAATGACAATTGCGCGGTCATGCAACACTACACAGATAAAGCTTTATTTTGGTGGTATTTATTCACCGCTGGGGATTTTAATTTTTCTGCTATATAAAATGAAAAAGTCCAAAAATTTGGAAAAAAAAAAGTGTTTTTTCTTATACAATTTTGCAAATAAATAATCTTTCTTTATAAATCTTGGCCAAAATGTATTCAGTTATCTTTTTAGTACAAATAAAATAACCAAAATTAGTTTATAACCAAAAATTATAATTTTTCAAAAACATTTTTTACATTTTTATTTTTTTTTATATTATTATTTATGTTTTTTTTTTACATACTGTCACCCTAGCAGTGACACTGTACTACTTGTTGGGGGTGATGAAGATTTTTTTTTTTTTTTTTTACACCGATTGCTTTTACACCCATAAAGGCTGTAAGAGGAATCATTTCTCCTTCTCTCTGGCTGCATTCCTGCAGTGTTGTCACCTTATACCAGGAAGTGCCTGAACAAGAACCTTCATTATTAAATCACCAAGGGTTTCTATTGGCTTCTACAAGTGGCCATTCTAACATACATTTCACAGGGAGGCTTACCCTGATAAATGATATGCAGCCATTGCTAGAATGCATGTAGACGGGAAGGTAATGAGCTGCACTGAGCAATAATAAAGGGTAAGCCTGCCTGTGTAATGGTTGTTAGAATTGCCACTTGTAGTCTCCATTAGAAGCCCATATGATAGGGTGACAACGCAGGAGCACAACTGCGAAACAGGGACATAGTGTTGTCACCTTATACCAGGAACATGCAAACTCCAGGCAGGTGTTGCCGTGGCTGGGATTCAATGCAACGACCCGAGTACTGCCAGGTGGAAGTGCTAACCATTTAGCCCAATATTTGAGTTTACGTTTTTTCTACTTTGTTATTGCTCAGTGATGCTCATTACCTGCAGCCACTTCCTGTCTACATGCATTCTAGCAATGGCTGCATGGCATTTATCAGGGTAAGCCTCCCTGTGTAATATGCGTTAGAATTGCCACTTGTAGTCTCCATTAGAAGCCCATATGATGGGGTGACAACGCAGGAGCACAATTGCGAAACAGGGACAGAGTGTTGTCACCTTATACCAGGAAGTGCCTGAACAAGGAAATTCATGATTGGATCACCAAGGGTGTCTATTGGCTTCTACAAGTGGCCATTCTAACGCACATTACACAGGGAGGCTTACCCTGATAAATGCCATGCAGCCATTGCTAGAATGCATGTAGACGGGAAGTGGGCTGCAGGTAATGAGCATCACTGAGCAATAACAAAGTAGAAAAAACGTAAACTCAAATATTGGGCTAAATGGTTCGCACTTCCGCCTGGCAGTACTCGGGTCGTTGCGTTGAATCCCAGCCACGGCACCACCTGCCTGGAGTTTGCATGTTCTCCTTGTGCCTGCGTGGGTTTCCTCCGGGTACACCGGTTTCCTCCCACACTCCAAAGACATGCTGGTAGGGTAATTGGATCCAGTCTAAATTGGCTCTAGTATGTGTATGTATGAATGTGAGTTAGGGAGCTTAGATTGTACGCCCCTCGGGGGCGGGGACTAGTGAATGTACAATGTCTATGTAAATTGATGGACCTATATACGTACCTGTAATAAATAAATATAAAAACGGGAAATATTTATTTCAGGTTTCCATCAGTTGAATGTCCACAGCCTGGCCACAGTTTCCCTTTAACCGCAAAGTAACTGCAGAATAAAATGGCCGCTACGGCTTCCCAGCAGTACAAATCGGTCAGCCCCGGCGGACATCATTATTGCTGGCGCAGGCTTCCTTCTGTCCTCACATATCATGCGTTCAAGTGCTGAAAATATCTGCGGTCATTACATCTGTTCTGTAGCCCGGCTCTTCCAGATACGTATCGCATTTCTACATAAACAACGATTCGGCCAAGCGGGATGGCAGCTAGTAATTTCCTCTATTTTTATGTCCGTACGGCGGGATCGATCGGAGGAATAATCCGAAAAAACTGCCGGCTCTGTATCTGGCCTGGAGGCAGATGGATGTATTTACAGCAGGTGGTTTGGTGTCGCTTTATCTCATAAATATACGTTCGGGCCGAGCGCCGGGGTTTGAGGATTCCACAGACACAGCTGTGATCGAGAGCGCAGGAGGAGAACGCTGCCGTGGATGAACATCGAACGCAACGATCGTTTCCAGAATACAAAGGATGGAAATTACACAGAACAATCCGCAATGTTATAAAGACTCTTAAGCCGGCCATAGATCAGAATTTGGCCGGTTCAGCAGGAATCGCCCAAATTGTGATCCATCTATGGGCACCCTGGTTGTACGATTTATCAGTCGACTTGGTTTTTTTTTTTTTGTTCAATCACTGCTGGCGGCTGTACCTGGCAGCAGTGATCACCGCATTCTAATGGCTGGGAAACCTCCCGCTGTCAGAATACAATGGCTCTCTGGGCCGGATTCCTCCATCAACAATGACTGTTATTGAGGGAATCGAGAAAATTGCATAATGTATGGCCAACCTTACACATGACTGCATACTAAGGGACAGGAAGAATTGTTTAAAATGATATCAAACCCAAAGAGCCCATACTCACTTGTGCGACCTGTCATGTGACAAGTTGCACCCCATGCTTCCCAATGGGTACCATTCATATCTGTGCGGCTCCAAGTCACAGTGACCTCAAAGTAGTTCCTGCACTACTCTGGTCCGACTTTTATTTGACTTGAGGGCCACAGATTTCAATGTAAACCCTCCAAAGTTGCATGAATGTCGCACCTGAATGTCGCACATGCGACTTGTGTGTGACTTTGGCACACAAAGCTGCACCAAAGTCGCACGTGTCCAAAGTCGTGTCAAACTCACATCAAGTCGCACTGTAAAGTTGCAATGAAAATCGCACGATTTGGAAGTCGCTCAAGTGTGAATGGACCAAAAAGCAAACATTTATGATATTGCTTATCTTTTTACCTTCATATATTCTATGCATGAAGGTAAAAAACCTTCTCTGTGCAGCATCCCCCCCAGCCCCCCTAATACTCACCTAAGCCCCCCCTTGATCCAGCGATGTGCCCTTCGTCTTGTACCCCATAGCAAGCTGCTTGCTGTGAGGCCACCCAACAGGAGGGAGGGGCCAGGACCATTCAGCAACCCCCCCCAGCCCCCCTAATACTCACCTAAGCCCCCCCTTGATCCAGCGATGTGCCCTTCGTCTTGTGCCCCATAGCAAGCTGCTTGCTGTGAAGCCACCCAACAGGAGGGAGGGGCCAGAACCATTCAGCATCCTCCTCAGCCCCCCCCCCCCCCCCCCCCTAATACTTACCTAAGCCTCCTCTCGATCCAGCGATATGCACTGGAGTCTCGGCTATCCCGGGACTCCCTCTCCTCATTGGCTGAGACAGAAGCGGGAGCCATTGGCTATCAATCACAGCCAGTGAGCCAATAAAATAAAAGGGGGGGCTGGGCCAAGCCATGGTCCTGTGCATGAATGGAACTAGGTGCAGCGGCTGGGGAGTGCCCTTGCTAGGGTGCCCCCATAGCAAGCTGCTTGCTGTGAGGGCACCCAACAGAAGGGAGGGGCTAGGACTGTGGAGCATCACCCATAGCCCCCCTAATACTCACCTAAGTCCCCTCTCGATCCAGCGATGTGCACTGGAGTCTCAGCTATCCCGAGACTCCCTCTCCTCAATGGCTGAGACAGCAGTGGGAGCCATTGGCTGTCAATCACAGCCAGTGAGCCAATGAAATAAAGGGGGGGGCTGGGCCAAGCCATGGTTCTGTGCATGAATGGACACATTCGGTGCAGCGGCTGGGGAGTGCCCTTGCTCGGGTGCCCCATAGCAAGCTGTTTTCTGTGAGGGCACCCAACAGGAAGGAGGGGCCAGGACCGTGCAGCAACCTCCTCGGCCCCCCCTAATACTCACCTAAGCCCCCTATCGATTCAGCGATGTGCACTGGAGTCTCAACTATCCCAGGACTCCCTCTCCTCATTGGCTGAGACAGAAGCGGGAGCCATTGGCTGTCAATCACAGCCAGTGAGCCAATGAAATAAAGGGGGGGGCTGGGCCAAGCCATGGTTCTGTGCATGAATGGACACTCGGTGCAGCGGCTGGGGAGTGCCCTTGCTCGGGTGCCCCCATAGCAAGCTGCTTGCTGTGAGGGCACCCAACAGGAAGGAGGGCCAAGGCCTGTCGGCAGGGGAACCGAGAAGACAAAGATTTGGGCTGCTCTGTACAAAACCAATGCACACAGCAGGTAATTAGCACACCGCCCGCAGCATTCTGCTCCACCACAGAGCCTGGGACTGAAGCTGGTGGTTCTGCCGGCTTACCAAAGAGATGATGGAGGACCAGAACATCCCCAATCATCTCTATGGTATAAGAAACTGGAAGGGACTATTATTTTGTCACTTCTGGTTTCGGTCTCATGTAAACAAACCATTACTGGCTTGGCAAAGCATCTGATCAGTCGGATCTTGGTGTGATCAGATGCTTTTGAGGGCAGAGGAGAGATCTGGGGTCTAATAGTCTGTGAAAGAAACAT